TCAACATTCCTTAGAATTCAAGTTCCGGCATTGCGCTCTGGAAGCTTGACCTGACTTGCACTTTGTACACTCTTTGTAGACAAATTAAAAAGGTTGATGCCTCCAGCTTCCGCTGACTAGTGCTAGGTGTTGCTCGGGTCCGTACACTAAAATGACCGACACCTGAAGCATCATTAATCTTCTAGCCAAGAGAAACAAATCGGCTGACTAAAAGTAGATGTGCCCTCGTTCATAGACTAAATTGGTCGACTCCAGCATCTTCTTTGCTTCAGTCAAAAAACCGCTTTCCGTGGACTAAAAGTCGATGTCGTGCTGGCGCGTTAGACTGCGCTGGTCTCCGTACAGTTGCGTTAAGCAGAAGGGAGTCAGAAACGCTTGCAGTTTGGCTTTGGCGAGAAGACACCAAGCGCGCAGCGGAGCTGAGTCAAGAGGATTGAAACAACTGTGACACTCAGCAGACGATACAAAAGGAAGCCCCTTAAGCATGCGTTCTACAAGTTTAAATATATAGATATATCTATGTACGCATATATTTATATATGTACAGATCTGCGGATACCTTCTACCTACGCTTCATGTACACTCTCGTGCGCACACACGTACATAGAGCGACACATGCTCGGCGACGGCAATCGTTTGTGGTACCATTGGTTTGATGGTTTATGATCACATTCCATCCCATCATGGATAAACATCTATCACGATGATGCTTTGTTGTTGAGTTTTTAGACTGGGGCATCTTTGTATTAGCAAGTTTTCTGTTTTTGTACGGCTCACATGAGTGAATCAAGCGCAAGCTTTGCTAGATGCCTTGCGTAGTGCACCTGTCCTTGCACGCATGTGTACGTGTGTGTGTCATGCATTTCATCATGTTGGCGATGTCCAGCAGCCCATGCAGCGACTCGTGAAACTATGCCTTGGCTGATTGCTGCGACCGCCCTTTTGCTACGGCTTATGTATCAGCTTTGTGGGCTCAACATTCGGAAAGGCCTTGGATTGTTCCAGCGCAGCCAGGCTTACCTCGGGTAGAGCGATGTCTTTATAGTTGTGAACGGAGGTTGCTGTTTCCAAACATGTTCCCATTCACATTACTATTTCCAGAAATGGGTGGCCCATGCCAGCATGCCAGCATGTGCACACAAACAATCCACCCTGTTGCACCATCGTTCAAGGCCCCGGAAAGAACACTTGGCCTTTGCACACCTTGGGTTCCTCCACCGCTTAAAGCCGATCTTTTGGCCGGTGGAAGGCGGACTCACCACTCATGGCTGCGACAACCATGTCCTGTCTTTACCTTGGCAAGGCTGGTCGCATCCCTACCCTTAAATGATGCATTATTGGTGCGAAGAAACAGGCCAACAGGAAACCGCAAAGTTGAGGTGGCAGAAGGTCCGGAGATGGAGAGCTGCCAATATTGCGTTCATCCTTGTATTTTCGTGCATCGTTTGTCCTCATGTGAACTGCCTATGAAGGTTTGCGCCCTGGGCCCTCGGCGAAAACAAGCTTCAGTAAACCTCGTATGGGTGATAGTTTGTCAGGAGGAGGCAAAGAGGGCAGACGAGATGATGAATGACATGCGGCAGAAGTTGAAGACCATGGAGGGCACGTTGCAAAAGTCTGGCTTGGGTGGGCACACGGAAACTGCCGTCTCGGACGCCGGCCTGCCAGATTTTGCGAAAGGCCGAGATGTCTTTCATAGATTGTACAAGGACGCCTTGCGGCGTATGCAGGTACAAGCTGAGAATTACCTGCGGATGCTCAGCCACACCTCTGCAGCGTTTCTCAAAGTCCTGGACGAAATGGCAGCACACCCCATCGCTGCAGTAAATGAGGCCCTGCAGATACATGGCCCCCCTCAGCTGCTGGCGCCTTTGCAGGTTCTCGGCTACTCCGCGGAAGTGGAGCCAGAGGCGGCCCCGCCGCACTCGCCGGAAAGCCCTCATGAGAGACCGCGGCCGCGCAAGTTGAAGACCAGCTCCTCGCTCGGCCGGGAGAGATCTGAGGCCCGGCTTGGGCGCGCCAAAACGAACCCAGCACTGCCCCGCAGCTCGAGCCAGACGTTGCGCCAGACTTTATTCCCCTCACCTGGCCCTCCCATGCCTCCTGGGTTTGGGGGTGGTGAAGACTCCACACCCAGCGGCTGGGCCGCGTCCCCGGACCGCATGGACGTGCGCCCGGGCACAGGGCACCGCCGCGGCTTTCCGCAGCTGGCGACGCCGACGAATTCCAAGGAGCGGCGCCCCTCCAGCAGCGGCTCCTGCAGAGGTCCCAGCAGATCGCCCTTCGGGGTCTTCTCCATGGCCCGCACCGGCAGCGAGGGAGCAGCTGAAGCAAGAGCAAATAAAACCAACGGCGCTGGCCCAGCACCGAGAGCCCCAGAAAAAAGAGCCTTTCTGCATGATCGCTGAACATCGGCTGAACCTCACAGACGAAAGATGTCTGGATCCTAGTTTCTTAGCACGACCCGACGCGCCAGAGGCCGTCGGCGTTCCGAGATGCAGAACTTGGCCAGTCCCAAAGTGGGCTGCAAGACGGCGGCTTTGCTGTTCTCACTGCGCTGCCTGTTAGCTACTATCCTTGATTTCGGCGCACGGAACGCATCGCTGACTGTCTTGGTAGATAGGCAAATTCACTCGTCCAAAGCCAACGCTTTGCCCTGCTGATGTTCAATTGTTTGTTTTGTCTTTAGCCATAACTCCAAGAGTTGATTATAGCTAATAACTAGTAGTTCCGTCTTTGGACAAGTGCGAAGCCCGCCAAACTGCAGTGACAAGCTTGCAGCACTCCTACAAGCTTGTGCGGGTCAGCGGGTCGCAACAGTGTCTCAGAGTATTGCGGGGCAGGTTGCCGGGACACGCGGTTGTTTCCATCGTTGTCCATTTTAAGGCCTCAGGGCGCGCTTGTAATTGAGCCACAGCCACATGTTGCGTATTTGTGTGGGGATGGTTTTGCTTTGCAGTCTTGCCTTGATTTGCATGCCTGTCACAGGCGAAGCAGTTCCAGGCTGCACTGAAAGGCATGGGCTTCCGGTAGCCGCGGCGGCGTCTCACGCCTAGGTGGAACGTTTTTCCCTTTGTGGCTCCTTGGCAATGGGTGAATGCATTCTGAACAGAAGGACTGATGTAAGCAACCGGTCGGCGTCTCATGGCATTGCAGCAAGCCACCTGGAAATCCGTTGTATTTGAATATCTCAGTTGGGATGTTTGGGCTAGGTGGGCAGCTTCGAACCTCGGATTCACCAACTTTTGGCTTGAGGCGGGCCCTTAATGAAGGGCGCCCGTCAATCAAATCGTGGCTAAGTAGCTGGGTTTATGCGCCCGTCGCACAAATCAAACCGGCAAACATAAGCAACATGACTGTATTTTTGTGTGAGTCTGAGGTGGTAAGGAGGATGACACCGAGCTGCGTTTGGATGATTGCGTGTCAAAATGGCGAGCAGCTGGCTCTCAGACGCTGCCAAACGAGTCGTGCCTGTCCGCTCGGGTCAGGCATTGCATCTAGACAACTGTCTACTCAATGCTCATGTGAGGTTTAATTCGAGGCAACTTTCCTCACTGTAAGCCAGGAGTTCTGTCTGGGGTCAGACTGAAGTGGGCTTACTTGTGCACTCACAAATCCTTGTGGCCATAACAATGTGCTTTGCTTCACAGGCTGCATAATTTCAGCGTAAGCCATTCGAGTTTAACTTGGTTTGGGTGGTAATTGCATTGGCGCCAGCCGCATCGAACGCACTTTTCGTTTTGCTGGGAGGCCTTACAGAGCGACGGGTTCCGAGCCTCTTTTGTGCACTGTCCAACTTCTTCATTGAGTCGCGCAACTAACTTCTGACTTTTGGGCCGCCAAGACATCATTTGTTTCAGTGTGAGCCAGTCAGATGAACTACAGATCCCAGTGGTCCCAGCGACGAAGTGTGGATTAATCTTGCTCTTGTAATTGAACCAGGCTACCTAGAGCGCTTATACATTCGCCTGGCTGAACGAGTGTCCCCACTCTTGAGTTGCTGTTTCGGCAGACAGCAGCTGGCAACACATTGGGCTCTCCGGCGAGACTCAAGTTGACCGCTTGGGCCGACCCGCGGCTGCCCTCCAGGGACGGCGAAATCATCGGAGTCATCGGCGTTGGGCAGGACATGGCCTGGTGGGAGCCAGTATTCAGGTAACCCGGATGGTTTGGGGATTCCGACTAATTCGTGAGGGTAAATTGGAATATCTGAACCACCAGGCCACGCCACCAGTTAGAGGAAAACCGAAGTTTGGCTTGTCAGCCTCACTTTCGTGGAATCGTGAGAGCCTTGCTACCTTGCACTGCAAAGCGACCCAATACTCCATAGAGGGTATTCTGCTTCATCCTTCTGTCGACCCCCTGCGAAACAATCAGGAAATGTCCACCATGATGTAGGTCCTTTACTCGGGCATCCCTTGTTCTTGGAATTATTCCAGAATCTGCAGATATCATAGGAATTGTTTGCTTGGGTAAACAGCACAAGAAGTGGTGCAAGGACGTGCCCACCACGTGCCCAGGCCCCTCAGGAACGTCCTTGATCCTCAAAATTGGCGAGCCTTTCCCTCGCGAGTGGCAGGACATCACAGAAGTGAACAAGCAGAAGCAGGAGGCAAGACTTTGGGCAGTGCCTCTTTGAAGTTCTCGCGGAATAGGGACGATGGCACCTGTGAGCAAGCCTAAGGCCACCTCAAATGTTCAAATTCCCCATCCGACATGGCAGGGTGAGAAGCAAGTGCTTGGACAAATGGGCTCCAGCGATCTTACGACTGCCACGCATAACGCGTTTGTTCCACGGGATGGTTGAACCAGTTGAACCAAGCGCCATTGAGATCTGCAGACCTCTCACCTGGCGGCCCTCTCGGCTCGGCGGGTGAGGTGAAAAGCGGAGGAAATGAGGTTGATGCTTCAGCCACAGGAGATCTTGAAAGTTTTCCCAAATCCAAAGCTAATTTCCATTTCAGGGGCCCCATGGGGACGCATGCCAGCGAGGCCGTGCTGCTGGCTGCCGAGCTCCAGAACATCATCCACTCGGCGGGGCCGTGGGAGGGGAGGGAGCTCACTCGGAAGTTGGGATGTCGTCTGGAGTCTTTCGGTTGGTTCTGGGGAGGTTCAAGGCTTCTTGAGTTTAGGGGAACTTGGCTTAATGTATTTGGCTTGTTTGAGGGGCTGAACTTGATACACGCAGAGTCCCACGGGCGCAAGCCGGGCAGACCGGTATTCTACCCGGTATTCACTGCACCGCAGGAGTTTGCCAAAGGCTTGTTTGGGCATGTCAGGCGTGTAGAATTTGATGGGAGGCGTTGTTTGCATATGCATGTGCTTGCTTCGTTGTAGTGGCCTGGGCTGGTCAAAGGTGCACCAGTGGACGCATGTAGATCTGAAAGGCACTGCTCAGTAGTCAAGACACTTGAGGATAGACGTCTCATGACCTTAAAGACTCTTCATCTTCGGTCCTGAATCTGCAGGCCAGCGCGCCCATCATCGGCGTGGATCGCCACAGCTGTATCACGCAGCCGCAAGCCTTGGCGTGATGAGATGCGTCAGTCCTGCCTTTGCCAGGAAGCATGTTCCAGTTTGCATATGGCTTCAACCTCTCAAGAAAAGGTCACCGAAGTTCCAAACCAGCCTGCTGTGGATTCTCAGTACCCCGTACTTGCATGCATCGGCAGAGTTGTCTGGGACAGTCACAATGCCTACGAAGGGAGCCCTGATTCATCAGAGAGAAAGAAAGAAAGAAAGAAAGAGGCCATTTTGGAGAGAATCCTTCACTTTTGGTGGAGCTGCTCGCCCTAATAATGGGCAAGACTCAGCAACTTGTTATTTTCGTCCGGGGTTGACGTTCCACGAACTCTCCGATATACTGTGGATAAACAACATCCTGCGCCAGTTGCGATGCAATAAGCCCTATGAGTACGTAGTGTAAACCACCCACCAACTGCTGCAACATGTTGTCCATCCACAATGCTTTGATCATGCCTTGTTCCCCCTTTGGCAAGAATCCTCATCACCGTGGAAGTAGATGGCACAATTCCAACCCATTGTGTTTGAGTCGCCTTTACTTGACATAAAAGAAACAAGAAGGAAAGGAAGAAAGAAAGCAAGAAGGAAATACAAGTCCAGCTCATTTTGGTTTGAACCCCTTTACTTCTCATGCAGGGAGTTGTGCCGTCTACATTCGCCCAACTGTAATACATCACCGAGGTGGAACAAGCGGGTGGCAGAGATCACGGGCATCCGCCTGGAGCAGGCCACTGGCAAGGAGCCACCCGGGCCCGGAACTGCACGGGTTTTGTGGGTTTCATGGATGACGCTGTAGAAGCCTTACCCCACCAATTAACATAGAGCCATATTCTTGACCCCCCGTGTAGATCTGCTTGGGCCGTTCGTTTGCTGGTCTTTTGACCTTGCGAGGTGGCCGGTTACGTGTTACCAGCTACAGGGAACTCTGAAACAAATGCCATATTTTTGGAAATAAGGCCCTACCAAGCCCAAGTTGTTCAAAAAAGTCCTGAATGTATAAAAAACCATTGGCCTTATGTTGCAAAAGTAGCTCGCAACTACAGGCTTGCTTGGGGAACTCCAAACTGAGTGCATTTGTTGCAAATGGCTTCCCAGGGGCCGTCTTATGGATTGCCAGGATTTGCCCGTGTTCTTTTTGGGCGGCTTGAGAAGCACCTCCGCCCCCGGGGAATTGAAATTGGCGTTCAACGTCGAGGCCTGCGGTTGGTTTTCTCTTGGCTTTCGCTTCAAAGCCAACCAAACAGGGGTCCACCAGTCAGAGCGAGAAAAAGCCATGGTTCCTGGTTCTTGGTTCTTTGGATGAGCAGCCCACGGCTCGCCCGCCAGGAGCTGCTCAGCTTCGTGCTGGACAGTTGCGCTGCGGAGGCCGGAAAGGTCCCGGAGCGCCTGACGTGGAACCCAAGAAGGAAATCCAAGGGTGTTCCATCTGAAGCCTCGGTCTCCATGTCAATCTGCAGGAGTGCCAGAGTAAGTCTCAAATATTGGTTTGATAGGTTCAGGATGAAGCCGTGGGCTGTTTGAACGAAACTGTGGAGATGAGAGCCGAGTCCTTCTTGGCTGCCAGGATCCGAGGACCTTTAACTCAAGGCAGCAAAGATGCGTTCATGTCTAACGCCGCTCCCATGAGCCATTTTGAGGCAAACAGTAATGAGTGGCCCACCCTGACTCCAACGTCAGTGTTTATGTCGTATGTTTTTCATCCAGGTCAGTGTGTCGCAACGGGTGTCGCATGGAAGAGTTTGAAAGCCATTGGCAACCTGCAGGGAAGGCAAGCACAGGTTTTGATTGCTCCCCGCCAAGCAGATGGGCACTGCCTCTTGCTCAACTTGGTGTCATATGTTGTACTGCCCCTGGCACGTTCGATGGATGCTACTTCAATGCATGTCTTGAGATAGCTTGTGCAATCACCGTCCTTCAAAGGTGATTTGGGGATGAGTGATTTGGGGATGCGCCAGCACTTCTAGAGCAAGATGTGTGGCGCTGTACTTGTCATTCTTCAAAGCTGTATCCACGGCCCACAGCCATAGCGGACCTATGTTTGAACACGTTGACGCTTCGCAGCACATGGCATCGCAGGGATGTTTTGCATCAGGCCACGGGTGTTGGTTTTTCATTATCCCATTCTGCCCAGTATGATTAGCGATGCTCTGAAGGCAAGTTCCTGGGCCGGAATGCAGGAGAGTGCACAATGAGCCAGGCAGCTGAGCTGCGAGTTTAAATCAACAACGACGTCCCCGCTAAACCTGTGAGTGTCTTGAGCCCTGAGCTGTCCCGCAACCAGCTGCAGCTGTTTTGGCCCCACACGAAGCGGAGACCATGCCAAGCTTGCTGAAACTTGGCTTGCAGCTAGGGTCGGAGCCATTCGCTTGACATTGTTCGCTGGCGTTTCTGCCGTGTTTTTCCATTGGAACAAAATAAAGCAGCATCGTTTCAGGCAGATAGCTGGCTTAGTGTTCGGTTTGCAAAGCGTGCCTGTCGCCAGAAAGAAACGCGGGAGTTACCCCACAATGTGACAGGGAATATCTCTGGCAAGCGTGGTAAGTCGTCTTCTCTGCTTTTCATGTCTCAACCTCAGGGGGATCCAGCGACCTTTGGAATGATGGGTCCTCCTCGAAATGCTGAGGTCAGACCCTTCCTGTTCCTGTAGTACCTTGTTGGTGTCAGTCTTGACAGTGGACCTATCAGTCATTTCATTTAAAGCGGGCAGCCCTAAATGGGTTCTAGGGGATGGGACACACACTGTACAGCCACACAACACGATTATCCTTTTGCAAAGTGGAACCCGTTTACTTGAACCCGTTCCGGGTTCCGTGAGTAAAGGGGCCTGGTCTCTTTGTTTGTTGCGCAGTGCTTTGCAATTCGTCTCCGAGGGCTGAACCGAAGGACGAGAGAACGCTCCATCCAGGCAAAGCGGCCAAAGCATACCCCACCACCAATCCACTGAGATCAACCCGGCTTGCCATGTTGGCCGCCGTGTGTTGTCATCATCCCCCCCGTCGAGTCTTTCGCCTGCCCCTGTTTGAAAGGGTGGGGAGATTGCCTGCTCAGCCTCAGGAATGGTTTCCAGGAACCCACATGAAACGCTTTTGGAAGCTTACAGCTGGACGCACACCATGCGTTTGTTGGGACTATTTCTTTCGACGGCCTATTTTGGGATTCTTGCGGGCAGTCAATGAAACCCCCCACATTTGGAACCAGCTTACATCTTACTACCAAAATGATGATGATGATGATGATGATGATGATGATGATGATGATGATGATGATGATGATGATGATGATGATGATGATGATGATGATGATGATGATGATCGTGGTGGTGGTGGTGGCGGCGGCGACGGCGGCCGTGGCCGTGGCCGTGGCCGTGGCGGTGGCGGTGGCGGTGATGGTGATGGTGGTCATGAGTCATGATGATGGTGGTGGTTAAGGTTCAATTCCTGGTTTTTGATTGCACCTGCCCGAGTCGTTCGAAACACAGTATAGAGACCCCACATCCAAGCACCAGCCTGTTGAAATGCCGCTTTTTTCCGAGCAACAACCAACAACCAAAAACAGCCGCCATCTTGTGTCCAAAAACCACGGGAGAAAGGCTCCGAGTTGTCTCAGGAAGGCCCGGGCGGGCAAGCCCTCCGTGACGGAGATGAAGTCCCAGCTCTCTGCGCTCCGAAAGCCCAGCGCCGCGCTTCTGGAGGCTTGGGCGATGCTTGGGCGGTGGGCCCCGCTTTTTGCTCCCCAAACAGCGGTGACGTGGGAAGGAGAAAAGCGCGATGGTGAAGACTGGGCGAAGATGGGGGGTTTATGGCTGAAGTTGTTTGATGAGATGTTCAGAGGATATCGAAATTCTACTGGCTTGTCTATGGCCCAGTGGAAATACTTCCAGCCAGACCCTCCAGCGGTGGAGGGGTCCCTAAGATCCGGATTTCCCCCAACGCCACTACCTCTCCCGCAAGCCCTTTGTCCAAATTTATCGTAAGCTTGATCATGGCCCAACTGGCCCACACGGTTGGCCTTTGAGTGGAAGCCAACGTTTCAAGAATGTGGCTTGTCCATTTTAGCGGACCGGTCGAACTGCCAGCACTTGCAACTCATGGATTGTGCAAGGTCCAAGGTGTTTGCATCTGTCACTGGAATTTGGCTGTGGTGCACATTGGCATTTACCTTCGCCTGAGGCATTGTTCACCAAGTACCATCAGATATGCCTGGCCCACGACCCACCCTTGAAGGAGGGGGTTGGTGATGATCAAGGATGATGCCTTGTAAACACTGCTCACCTTGCGACCTGACATGCATCATGCCCTGGACAGAGCAGCGTCATACATCGCCACCTGCTAGGAGGTGCATGTGGCAGAGCCGGACATCAATTGGAAGGCACTGATACTCAGCCTGCCATCGCCAGAGAACACAAAGGCCCGGTACTGATACTCCGTCGATGCCTGCGTTCTTGCTTTGGTCGTCATTGTCGCTGTCGTAGTCGTGGTCATCGTCGCGGTCGTTGTCGCTGCTGCTGTTGTTGGTGGGGCTGTCTCTGTTTACATCGTTGGAGGTTCGGCAAGACATGTCATGTCTGAACGCAGTGGCGGTCTCCGGAGAACCGACGGGGTCCTGTATGATTTTAAGGATTATTGTTTCCCACTGGGTTTGTTTCTGTCCCACCAAGCAAAAGGACGCAAGAAAGCAGTCGTCAGCACAAATATAACGCAAGGAGTTCCCAAAGAAGGTGCCGCATGCCGTGAATACATCAAGCCAACGACATCTGAACCTCACAACGTCCTATGCATATCCTATGCATGGAACGAGGATGGTCAATGTGGCCAGCAATGGCCAAGCATGCTTGAGCATTGGCGCTGCTTGTGAGCTGGGCATGCGGACCCTTGCAATTGCACTATGAAGTAAACTTCTTTGCCAATGATTTCGGTGACTGATATTCTTCAACTGGTCCTGCAAAAAGTGGCTTTCAGGTTTCACCACCTGGGAATTTGGGTGTGCAACCGCCCTCTCATTTGCCCTGTTCCCTGCGATTGGGAAGCGGGGGAAGAGATTGGTTGCTTGGGTCATTCTTGGCACTAGGTCGGTCTAGGGTAGCCCGGGCAAGGAGTAAGTTGGGAAAGAGAGGTTTTTGTGGACCGCAGGCTGGATCAGATATACCTGGCAGGGTGTCCAAAAACAGCGGACCTCCCAACTGTCAAGGATTTGTTTTAAAACTATTTTCTCCCTCTAACAAGGGTTCCGCATCATTATTGGAAGCGCATGAAGCGCCTATATTATCATGTTTGCATTCATGATAATCATGCATACGTTTATGCGGAAAAAGAAGAAGAAAAAAACAAATAGGACAGGAATTCACAGATGTGGAGATTACGTGGCTATACTGACATGCATGTTTGCCGTTGTGCCCATGTGCAGTGACAGATGTGTGCGCACTCCGGTTCTCAGGCACCAAGTGTGGGGGAAGTGCTCTTTGGCAGGTCCTTGGCTGCGGCATCCGTCGCGTGCTTCTGAAGCGGGCGGAGTGCGTCTACGACGGCATCTACCGATTTCATGTGGAGAGGCGCGCGACGTGAAGATTCGGCGGGTGCGAGTGTCTTGTTGACTTATTTGTCCAGTTTTCTACCTCCGAGGCTCGACACTTTTGCCCACGAAAAATCATGTCAATCGTGTCGACCTCCTATCTATCTACCCATCCGCATACCTATTTGCCTGCCGATGTAAGTACCCATCCGCCGACCTACAGCCCTGCGTACTTTAGCTGCCTGCGGTTCTTTGAATGTTCTTCGATTGCCATTTGCGGCTGTACTTTGGCCATCTCTACTTATCAGACTAACCCGACCTGTCTTATTAACCCACATCTGCCCGCATGCTTAAAGCGGTGTAAAACAACTGAGCTGTGCACCCATTTGCATTCGATGGAGAAGATCCACTTCGCAGCAGTCGGCACGGATGAAGCCCAATGAACACTGGAGTAAAGCAGATACCAACTGGTGCAGGAAATTGTTCCGTCCACAGTGTTGCCTTAGCAGGGCTTGGCCTCGGCATTGGGTTTCACAGCCTGGTTCCTATCAGCCAGGCACTTTTTTGGTTGTGAAAGAAAGGGGCGGTAGCGGTGACAACTTGGACCAAATGCGTTGAGAGAACCGTAGCAAGGCATCGAACTTTGGTAGGTGCCCTGTCTGACAGGGGCGCGACTCCGTCACATGCCGTATCAAGCATGAAGTGCAAGACCGACTGCCCCCCCATGTTGCACATAAGTGGCCATACAATTGCAGAGGGAGCGGCAAAGTCTTGTTTTTGTCGTTCGGCTAGAATTTGAAATTTTGTTTGCTGAGCATTGGTGGATGGACAATTTTTGCATCAGCTGGGAAGGATGAAACTTCACAAATACTGGGAAACCCGCAGATTTGCCTGATGCCTGGCGTGTTTTTTGTCCATCCACCCATTCAGTTTCTCACCATGGCCGCTTGTCAAGCTCCGGACTCCGCCGGCAGGAGAGATCTGACGCAGGCCATGTTTGAGTTCCGAGATGCGTACGACGACCCTTACCATCACTACAAGGACCCGCCGGCGTTGGTGTTTGAAATGCCGGGCTTTTGCTTTTGGGGGGCCTTTTAAAGGGACCCCCTTGAAAGGAAGATGCCAGTGTTCCAAGGGGTCCCACTCGTTTTCACTGCTTCTGCACAACGCTGATGCCCGTGAACCATAATGAGCCTACTCGCGTTTTGTTTGCTGCTGATGATGTAATCAGAACAAACTGTTGCATCTGGCCATTCAGCAAGGCCTTGAGGAGAGGGACAAGTCCACTTCCAGCGCTGCAAAGGCAGGGATGTGCCCCGCGCGCCAGGACAAGTCCTTTAAGGATGATGTGGACACCGCGCTCCGGGCCGCGGTGCTATCTCACCTAGTGCAGTTCAAGGAGCTCCACTGCAAAGACAGCGGTAGCCCCAGTCACCGGTCACCTGAGAAGCTGGGTGCAAATAGCCCACATTTGTTGATCTTCATGCAGAAAAAGACAAGCTCAGGTGATATCCCCAACAGCATGCGGTGCATTTTTTAGTGCTCGCACCACCCCACACCGCAGCCTCGCAGAACCTCGTTTTTACCTCGTGGAACCCTGGTGGAACCCTCGTGGAACCTTACCTCAGGGCTGCCCCGGACCACCCCGGAGCCTATCAGGGCTGAGGCCCCAAAGCCTTCAGCTGTTGGGGAAAAGGAGTTGGGTATTCTTTGATTTGTCCAGATCCCCTATTTGACACCCAGCAAAACCGCCCGTTCATGGCTGTGGGTTGAGACCACGGGCCCTGGAAATGCACGGCTTCCTTGTGGGTGTCCCTTCAATATCGCCAGCCAGGTGTTTGTGCTTTTGACATGCGCCCAGTAGAGTGCCTGGTTAGAAGTGCGTTGAGGGAGCTGTAGCCGCAGAATGGAACAACTGACAGGTAGGTAATCAAACGTGTTGTTCAGATTCAGGGAATGTAACGCACACTTGCAGTCCAGCAATGATGTATCATCATGCGTTGGATGGAGACAACACCCTGCACAATTTTACTCCTTAACCATGAGAGGGCGTCATGTGCCAGGAGCTGGATTTCAACATACTGTCAGCTTCATAAGGTTTGCTTTGGAGCACCATTTTCTATTGATCCATGCTGGCTTGCGTGGCTTAAGTCCAAGGCCAGATGGAGCTTGTGAGTCACATCTCCGGCATCGCCCTGCCCTGGGAAAAAGCGGTGGCGCGGATCCCCGACACGGAGCCCATCCACTGGGACCTGTATGAGTGTGAGTGATGTTCCACTTGTTTTGGATAAAGCGGACGTTTCCAGAACGGTTGACCATTTTTGGGGCCTTTCTATGGAAGCAGTGGCCACGAAACACTTTGGTGCTTGCTAGGTTTCTAGCTCAGGTAAGTCGAAAGATGTTGCGTTCCTCTATATACCTTGCATCTATGAACAAATTAAACGGCATGTTGCTGAGTTCATGCCGTCAAACATGCCAGAAGCTGTAGGTCAACAATGTTGACCTTCAATACGTAGTTTGCATTGGTCCAATCACTGTTTGCGGTTGCGGAAGGTGTCTCCAATAACATGAAGCCTTTGCATTAGCGAAGTGTTGCCGTTTGGCGTTACTCTGATTCCCTTTCGGTGGGTTTCTTTTCACTCTCAGACTTGCCGCTTTTCGGCCGTGGCCCGTGATTTGGAGCCCGGTGGTTTGGAGGCGTTCCTGCGGTTTCCCATCCTTCTGGAAAACGGTTGCCAGAGCAATCCAGAAACTCCAAGCCACTTAGAGGGAAGCTGGAAGCTGAAGCCGAGCGTTTTGGAGCTTGGTGCACCAAGCCGCGGTGCCGACAATGAGGTCCAGCACTTTCCTGTGACCTTTCGGCTGCTCTTGGATTCCTTCCTCAATGAGAACCAGATCATCTTGGAGAACATCCAGCTGGACTATTGCTGCAGCCCTGGTCCTCTTTTCTTGTCAGCTCAGCCCTGGTTAGTTGGTGGCTGGTTTTCCGGAATGGGAAGATCCAGAATGGAAGTTAGGAAGTCCCTCCCCCCCCGACCTTCGAACCATCAACTTACGATAACTTGAGTCCATGTCGCCGAGAATGGCCGAGGATGCTCCCAACCGTCGCTTGAAATGCCCAAGTTCTGAAGGCGACAAACCTTTGAATGCCTGCCAGGTGCCGGTTGCACACGTGCGCTGAAAGTGCAGAAGGGTGATATTTCAAAAGGCACCGACACAGAGAACCTAAGGCATTAGTTACATGCTCAACTATGTATGAATGGAAACACTGTCATACCAAATAACTTGCCAGAGAGAGAGAGACAGAGCTGAGCATTTCCACCAAGCCAACGAGACAAACGAGCAAACTATTCCCATGCACCCAACATGCCGAATGCCGCCTTAAGGTTTTTGTCAGTGCTCTATGCCTGAGGCGAAGACCATGGGTACAAGATCAAAGATGTGGAGCTCAGGGACAAGTGGCGGCTCTACCACCGAAGTCACGCACAATATCGCAGCCCTGGCATGAGCGTGACTGCCCGGGAATCCCATGTCCCTTGCAACATAGCCTGCTGAGTCATAGACAAGAGCATGCCCGCACCGACTTTCTTTTCTCACCTGTTTTCGTCACAGAAGTAGCTGCTGGGTGTGTCTTCACATTCCTTTGTACAAATTAATATTTGTGTATATACACACGTATATGTATGTATATATATATATACACATATATTTATATATACATATACAAATATATATATATATATATGTATATGCATACATATACGTGTATATGTACCTATATATGCTCATTGTGACGAATCTCTTTCGCAACATGTCCCGTGGCATTAACAGCATGCCTTGGATGGCGCTGGTCTCCTTGCCAGGCATCATCTCCACAGATGAGGCGATGGAACAGGACCACCTCTGAAGCTTCGGCAAATAATTGCGCGACTCGGACATGTCCAGCGACCTTTGCGAGATGTTTCGCGGGGGTTCATCCTTTAACCTTCTGTCCTTTCAGTGTCCCGGTTAAACGGTTAGAGGATTAGGATTGAGGCTCCACCTTCATTTTGGACCCTAGCTGCAGGTTCGGAGGCCTAGCTAGCTGTTCGCGAGTGAAAACGCTGGACTTGCCTGTCAGCGAATAATTCGCGGTTTTTGGCGGCTGGCGGCAAAGGCAAGTAGCTGGAGTCAGCTTGAGCATGCCATCCTTCACCTGTTGCAGCTTGAGGACATGGCATCTACAGAGAGGATGGGGGTATCTAACCAACCCTTCAAAGGCGAAATGTGGCGGAGAGGTTTGCAAGGCCAATGCCTGCAGTCGAGCTCAAGGCATAGTCCATCGCAGAAGCGACCTTGGACGTCTCACTTGGCCCTGCCTGCACGTTGGGCACTTGTGGTGAGGTAGCTGTTCTCTATTCTCAGCACGTTGCACTCTCGTTCCTATTGCATGTGTTTCTTGCCTAGCAACACCTGGCAATCTTTCCTGAAGCACCGCTTAGGCAGCTGATTGATTGGACATGGCCATCACTCAATATCCACTTACGTCATGTGCTCTCATGAGGGATTTAGCAGGGAGCACGAAGCGCAAATGGCCAAGCTAGAAAGCGCAGGCTGCCAACCAGAAAACATGAAACAATGACTCATGAGCGTATTACCTGATCACGCACGTGGGTGCAATGGTCTCATGAGAGCTTGAACCTACTACTACGGGGTAAGGATGTTGCCAACCCGATTGTGTGTGTGTGTGCTTTTAAGAAGCTGCTGGTTGCAGCGTTGTACCCCATGGGTAGTCTATGTGATGCCTGCACTTCGGGCCTTCAAACACAAAGGTTGGAGCACGTGGCTGCCCTTATGCTAGGATAGGCTTAGCCTTGCGCATAGCTCCGGCCATGGCAATAGCACTTGTCAAACGAATGCGTGCGGGCGGACCTTTGAGCAGTGGCGCGAAATCCGCGAAACTGCTCACCTAGCATCATGCCTTGAGAGACTGATGCCTTAGCAGAAAACCTGCACTACGCACATTCTCCAGGGTTCTCTCTACTTCCCCTTTTGGAGGTTTGAAGCACCACCTTTTGGGCCCATTTTACGTGAGCATCCTTTTGGTGGGGTGATTGTAGGGAAACCCCGTTCTATTGACACCTGTTTCTTGCGTTCTGTTTGGAATGGTCCGTGGCTCCAACAGACTGGGCGGTCCCAACCCATACCATGGCTTTCTTAAAGCCTCTGAATTCCCCAAGGGATGCACAATGCAGCTCCATGTGCAGGGCAGTTACCTGCATGTGCCTGCCTGAGAAGAAATTCCTTGGCCGAGCCCCCCGGTGCATGAAACTTTTCAGGGAAGCCCCACCACTCTACCTGCCCAAGCACCAAACAGCTGTACCAAGGCTTCTGTTTGTTATGCATGCAGGCACGCAATGCAATTCAAAGCGATGCAGCATAAGGCAACGCAACGCACGATATGCAACAACATGACATGAAATGAACTGTGACGCAGTGTTCTCAAGCTATGCTGAATGCGTGGCATGCAGGCATGTCCGTATGTGTGAATGTATGTGATTGCACAAGTGTGCATGCATGCCGGCATTGTTTTATGTACAGGCTTTGGCCAGTATTACCAGGCTAACAAGCATTCATCAGCATGAGGCTCTCCGGGATGGATGCTGCGGGCTTCTGCTTTTTCAGCCACGCCAGGTAGCACGTGTGCTGCGAGAAGCCATTGAGGATGGCAAGTCCAAAGTAGACTTGGAGGCAGGTGATGTGATTCACAGCTGGACCTCGCGTGCATTCACGCGCAAGTTGAGAGCAGTTTGCACCAGAGCCTTCACGCTCCGCTCAGCAGTTTCTCTCAGGTCCTGCTGGTGACGCAGTCTCAGGACATGGCGTTGAGCTGTCCGCTGGAGCTCAGAACGCACAAATATCTTGTGGTTTTGTTGCTGCGCTAATCAGCATTGGTTCCTCAAGCAGCATGCGGTAGTCAAGGATATTTTTGGCGGAAGTTCTGGCAAGCGAAGCCTCGAAAGCAGAAAGAAGATGTGCAAATGATTGAACTTGAGGAGATGTCACATCTTGGACCCTGATTCCGCCCACTTTTGCAAGGATCAATTCAGATAATGTTTCTTCGGGAGAGGTTGTGGAGCAGCCTCTGGGCACCTAGACTGTACGTATTGGACGGGTGTGCATTTCAAGTGCTCCAAATGAATACGGCTGCAAGATAGCGCCAGCTGCAGGGCATGGCTTACACCAATTGCCTCCGCGTTGCTGGGCGAGTCGTGTTGGAATACGACCTGCTTGCTGTGGGCCTTCTGCAAGATGAATTTGCACATGTTGTTGCCTTGAACCTGGGTAGGCGCCTGCCACTTCTTCCATATTTGCATGATCCCAGGTAGCAGATGAAAGTGTGTGGCACATGAGCGACACAACCAGGTGTTATGGCAAGAGAAAGGCTGATGCCCGTAGGGGCAGCCCGTTTGCGATCCGCAGGAACCTGTTGTTCTTCTACTCAGCTGCACACCCCGCTTAGGCCGTGCCTGGCTCAGCCGCATACATGTCATTCCTGGCTGCCCTTTGGGGCAGGGTTTTGAGGCAATGCTAATTCCTGCCAACATGTGGAGATGCCACCTATTCAATGCATGCCCTGACCTGTTTTTTGTTTATTATTTTTGCGTTTGCGGGGGCACCCGACGCAGTCGGTGCAGCCACGCTGGAATCTCATGGCTACGTTTTGTTCTAGATCTATGTCCCAGGTAATGATGTCATCCTGGGTGCCATTTGCATCGGCCAAGACATCACGCAGATGAAGGACCGACACGCAGAGACAAGTTCTCTGGCATGACACCTGACTGCGCCCATGGAGCCACGTGATCAATAAACCTTTGCCCCCGCGAGTTTGAGAAGGGTTTTCCACAAACCAGACCGTGCCTCTCCGCCTCTTTCATTCCTTTCTGGGTCCTTTTGGCCAACTGCAACAGGACAGCGAGGGCGTTGCTTTGAAGAGCGGGTAGAAAGGGCATGCAGGGGACTGGCTTTGAAGAAGGGATATCCTTTATGAGCTTGTCAAGTCTGTTTGTTCGAGCAGACTGTAGCTGACTGCGCATATGTTTGGGCAATTGGCAGTGCGGCAACATGTTGTGTCGGACAGGTGTTGTCAATAGCCGTGGCAACGTAAGCTGGTGACAATGATGTTGCTTTATTTCTTCGGGGTGCACAGTGCACAGGGACGCCTTCAATCAGGGGACCTCTACCGTGAACATTTTCCATGGAAGCCTCAAGCGAGAAGCCTATGGCCAGCTAGCCCAGGCGCTTCCTGTTTGTTTGCTTGTTTGGTGCGCTTGTTTGCTTGCTTGCTGTTTGCTTACTTGTTAGATTGTTCGCTTGCTTGCTTGATTTGCTTGCAGTGTATGAACATATGTGCTTTTGTTGTGTGTGTGTGTGTTTTGTTTGTTTGTTTGTCTGTCTGATTGCCTGCCTGTTGGCTTTTCCGTCTGCCTGCCTGACTGCCGGCCTGTTTGTTTGTTTGTTTGTTTGTTTGTTTGTTTGTTTGTGTGTTTGCTTGTTTGTTTGCTTGATTGTTTGTTTTTGTTCAACAAATGGCGGCCTCAGCGGCTGTTGCGGGTAAAATGATGCCGCGGTGCATGAGCACCATCGGCTAAAAAACTGCCCCTGTGGGAGCGGTCCGCGGAGGGAGTCGGAGTGAACAGGCCCTAGTCTCCATGAAGGTCCTTTTTAAAGTCAAGGAGCTGGAGATGAAGAAGTCGAGCATTGCGGCGGCTGTCACGCATGAGCTTCGGCGCTTGGCCTCAAATTGCTTGGCAAAACTTGACGAATAGCTTAGACTAGCATGTCACTACGCTCCTGCCAAACGTCAACATCATGTGGAGCTTGCCACAAGAAGATACTGTATATACCCCCACAAATGGGCGGCTTCAGGGAGTTCATGCTTTAGCGGCTGGATGACACGGTGGTCCATGGTGGGGGATGTGCTGGTTTTTGGAGAAGGCCTGACTGCAGGGTATGAAGCTTATGCTCAGGTTCCCCTTCATCGCTTCCCCCCAACAACAGATATTTTGCAATGGCATGCGTTCTTGGGAAAATATATTTAATTCAGAGGGCAGGGGGGTTAAGGGCTTCCCGCTTCGGTCCAAATGAGCCCCTTTGTGTCCTTTGCCGGCATAGAAACCGTCAATGTTATAGTTCACTAGGGAATCTGTTGGTTTAGACATGCTTTAGTTCAGCTGGCTTCTGTGGGAGGTCAGGGGTCCGAACAGAGCGTTTATTTTGTAGAGATGAGAGATTCACAGTGGACCACCGGCAAAGTCCATCAGCAATGGTCACAACAGGAGTTTCATCTTATAACGTCACCATCCTCAAGCATTAGTCTAATCTGTTTCCAACCTTTGTGGCCATTTGTGGGATACGTCAATGTTGGAGAGCATCCACAGGTGTCCGACCTCTCAGTCAGGGACGGCATATCTGAAGGCTTTAACTGGCGGATGCCCTTGCTTTGGTGTGGGTTGTTTCTCACAGCACATCTCCTTTGAAGCCAGGGGATGAGGCTGACCAGGGGGGAGTTCACCTAGTTCACCCAGAAACGACTGGATTTTCACTTTGAGGATCACTTTCCACGCTGAGAAATCCACGGAATGGCTCGTTTTGAGGTCACCTTTGCACGGCATCATCGCCCTGAGCGAGCAGCTCATATCTGCCAGTGGGATGCCCAAGGAACTTGTGAAGGTGACCTTGTTTCCGCTTTTTCTGGAGGGGTAGTGCCCCTGTTTCTATTGGCCACTGGGGGTTGCGGGCATTCTGCAATGCTTCTAAAAGGGGATGTTGCTAGGCTGACATGTGGATTTCCTGTGGCGACCTGGCGTGGATTTGACAAGGATGCCTACCATAGTGCCGACGCAATGCGCGCATTTGGATGGGTCTGTGTTTGTGAAAGACAACGACTCGCACACCCGTGATGATCCATCCGGCAGGCGAGGAGAAGC